CCTTCCCCATTCCTATCAGATCATAAAATAAATAATGTATCAGACAATATGTGACTGATCAAAAAAGAGAACCCAGGCAAATATATTGGGCTGGATATATTCAGATTCAAATTAGTAATATTTTACAGCTTTTTTTCCTATTGAACCCAACAGACCTACTTCTGAGTTTAAGGGCAGGGCAGATTTTAAGATGTTAGAAAATTAAAGTTCCTTGTTGATGGGTAACACAGAGAAATACAAGTCCATGGATTATCCCCAAAACTTCTTCTTATGTCTAATACTTAAAACATTTTTTTTAAAGAATCTGCATTGGTGGTTCTACGTTGCTAGTTAGAAATTACAGCTGATTAAATACTTTTTTCATTTAAAAAGGCTCTTGAGATGGATTAAATCCAGAGATATTAGTGATTCCGAGGTTACTCTCTCTATATGTGTGTGTATATACAAATGCCTAAGAATTTATAGAATTGGAATTTCATTGAATTTTTAAAAATACAATAATCCAAGTTCAAATATACTAAGCTATTCTGAATTGATCACACAATTATTACAACTTCAAATCCCCTTATCTGGGAGTGAAATCTTACAGAATGGAAGGAAGGTTCCTCTACCAGGATGAAGTATAAATGATTGAAGTTGGGTTTTGTTTTTTTAAAGGTTAGTTTACTTTCACTTTAAAGCTATTTTGTAATGTAGGTTAGCACAAGAATAAATTTAAGTAACTTTCCCCTCCTTTTAATTAAAAAAAAACTGTAGGGAAACATTCCTCCCCCTATGAATACAGTGTATTAACCAACATAAATTATTTGGTGGAAGGGCACATTTGAAAACCATATTAAGTTTCCGCTTCATTGTAGGGGAAATATTTCACCTTGTCCTGGGCAGGTGAAATTATTTGGAGAGAAGAGAGGCCCCATGGAGAGTATCGTTTTTAATCTCACCCTTTTCCTTTCTCCCTCAAAGTCACCTTTGAATGTTTCATAATTTCCCAGAATGTATTTCAAATGATCAGCTTGTTTTCCCCTTTTTAAATTGGATAGATGCATTTCAGGAAGTAAATGGCTGGTGTTGTTGTATTAAATTACCGCAGGTAACTCCAGCTTTAATATATTTGGGGTGCTTCTGTCTTGTTTTAATATAAAGAGGCTATAGTCTCCATCACATTTTCACCAGTGATTTCTCAGTAAGAGCAACCAATCCTTCCTATTCTTCAAAGGCCACTAAAAATATATAAGACACACACACACACACAGACACACACACCCCTTCTCCCAACATATATGCCATTGCTGGTGTCCACATTAACAAAACAAAACTAAATAAACACTGAATTCAGCAAGATTTCAACCTGAAGATTTGGTCATTCGTGAACATAAAAAGCACTCCAACTTTCATCTAGGACATGAACTCACCCAAGTAAATTTCCAAATGCCTTTTTCCTTTTATAATAATTAGTTTCATCAAACTCAGTTTCTGTCCAGATTTTATTCTTTATTCATATATTTAATATTCCCTTTTATATTCCTTAGGCCACAATTCTCTATTAATTTGTGTGTGGGTGTGTGTGTGTGTGTGCATCTTGTTGAATTTAGAGAAGATAGGATGAGTGTTGAGATTTTCCTTACAAGGTTTGCCCGTAAACTCCCAAAGTAATAATCCTAATTGTTTCCACGTTATAATTCCCAGCACACCAGTACATTCTTTGGCTTCAGTAATTCTACCTCAAGCAGGTTTGTTGTTTTTGTGTTTTGTTTTAAAGAAAGACACATATTATAAATGAAGCTTGGGTGGCTGATTCCTGAGAAAAACCCCTTAAACAGTATCTCTGGCTTTCACTGACTGTTCGAACATTTCGCTCAGCCACGTTCTGAGTAAAAATGTCCTCTCTACCCCGCACCCCACCCCACCCCCAAAAGTTTTGTCAATGGCTGTTGTAGTTTTACCATCGTCCAGTAGACGGCGTAAACGCTCAAGCCTTCAAATAAACAGGCGATCCAGCGGGTTTTGCTTTAAATAATGAAGGCAGCCGCATTTTAATTCCAGAAAGTATTTTTATTAATACTAATTATTATAAGGAGAGCCCATTCATATTATTGATGACCCTGTTTGGAAGTATCACTATTGTATAAAAAGGAGAGGAGATGCTCCAACCACCGCATATTATAAATTAGATGAATCTTCAGTCATATTCAGCCCTCCGATTAAAGTTAAAGCAAACTCTCCCAAAGACGGCATCCTCAAAACCTCCGAAAAGGAGAACTTCAAGAGACGAACTGGTTTATAGCTGGGTAGTATTATCGCCTCATTATGCGCTCATGGAATTTTCTGTTGTGAAACAAAAGTGAAATGTTGTCCCTGAAATTTAAATCTATCAAGAAAGTGATCGACGGTCACAAAATCCCCCACCCCCCCAAAAAAATAAATTCACAGCGGCTTTCTACAATTCTGTTTAAATTGGGGTAGGGTCGCAAGGAGAGACCATCAGGACTTCTATATGTATACATCCGGAAACTTAATATCTGGGCTACCTCTCAACATTCTTTGAATTGCAACTTCCAATCCCATTTCCCACTTCCAGAAATTAAAGGAAAACAACAAACAACAAAAGCAACGAACCACGACACAACAACCTGCAATTTGACGTCAGGCCACCCTCTCGCATAGTGTCCTCACTCCACCCCAAGTGACAAAAGTCCAGGCCAGTAATAGTAACTCATTCCCCAGTTGGGGGGCGGCGGGGGTGGGGAGGACGGAGTCGAAGTTGTAGTTTAAGTGTAAATTATACCAGTAGGGTTCAAAAAGTTGTTTAGGTGGAGAGTAACAATTTTATTTGGGGGGGGGGGATGTTTTACGAAGTCCTTCATTAATTAATAAAAGGAGGTCTATAACTTTTGAAACATGGCAGACCTGGTCATTAAATAGCCTTGTTGCTTTTGCTCTTTGGTCATTCACACACACACACACACACACACACACAAACCCAAGCGGTCCATCCGTGCCCCCCACCACCGCCTGTCCCTTCCTTCCCCGCCGCATTGGCTCCCTGGTCCGGGTGGGGGGAAGAGAAAGATTCAGACATTTGAAAGCCCTGGAAAGAAAACGTTCTTTTGCAAAGTGTTGCAAATATATATCTTTTCAGATCCCGCTTCTTCAACTCGGGAGTGTTTACAAAATACAGTAATGCTTGAGCATTTCGCCTCCCCTCGCAGTCCCGAATGGCCAGCCTGACCCCTGATTGACTCCTGAACTGGACCAGGGCTCTTTGTTTTCCCAAGTCGGAATCCAGTAAACAAACCATCTCTAACTCTCCGAGTCCCGCCTTTGCTTCGCAAACAGCCACTCGCACCATCTTCACTTAATCTTCCCCCCTCCATCCCCAATCCCCGCTGAACCTCCTTTCTTTTTCACCTCCTCAAGTTTTGCCTTCTAATGGATCTTTAAAGAGTTTTTCTCTTTTCGCGCTGCCATTCATTCAGGGTTTTCTGGGTTTGCTTTTTTTTTTTTTCGGGGGGGGGGGGCGGGTCAGGTCAGGTCCCTGCTATCACTCCAAGTCTTATCTCAGCATTCCTTCATTATCTTTATGCCCTGTTTAAAAAGAAAATCTGTTTTCTTCTGTTTGTTTTTCCACGTTTGGTGCCCTAAAATCTAAACACCGGAGAAACGGAGCGGGTGTGTGTGTGTGTGTGTGTGTGTGTGTGTGTTTGTGAGGGGTGGGTTGGGTTGGGTTGGAAGGCTGTGCAATCCCAGAGCGGGACGCCCTACATCTTTAGGGAAACATATTTGGAGTCCCCTTCGAAATCCTGGAGGGTCCCATGAAAAGGACAGCATTTAAGGAAGTTGGGAGTCAGAGGCGCCCATCGTCGGACTGAGTTTTCGAAATTAGGGTGACTCCTCCAGAGTAGATCGTGAACGATCCGCCTCAAGCTGTTACCTCCCGATAGAAGCAGCTGGAATCCGGGGCAACACTCCCACGAAGAGCAAGTTCAGTTCCCCTAATTTTGAAAACCTCTTCTCTGCCGCCGCCACCGCCGCCTCGGGACTGAAGTCCCCGCGGGACAACCACGGGGCTTCTCTTTCCCCCGGGGAGGCCTGCAGAGTGACTGCAGCATTAAGAGACTCCGAAGAATTTCCCCCTGGGAAGGCCCGGGGGGCTCCTTCTCGTCTCCCTGCAGAGTGGGACAGAGAACGGCTGGAGTTGACACTCAGCCCGAAGTGCGCTATAGCAGCGCCCGGGGAGCAGGCTGGCTTAGCTGGGCTTCGCGGAGGCTTCGCCTGGGATCAACTTGTCCGACTCGAAACGGCCGAGAGGCTTTTTCAGCCCTTTTCCCACGTGCTGTGGGTGGAAGGGAAGAGGGGGCGGCCGTGGACCGGGTTTCAACTCCGGGCTCCTAGTCCAAAAGAGCCATTTCGTGAATCCCTGGGCCTCGGGTTTGGGGTTGGATGGGGTCACAGCTATCAGGGGAGCGGGAAGGCCGAGAGCGGGGTGGGGGGGGCGGGAGGGGGAGTCCTAGCTGCATTGCCTAAAAAGGCCATCCTAGTTGAAAAGCTTGGGTCGCTGGGATGCAAAAAGTAAAAAGGTCGCAGAATGGACTCCGGGGGAAGTTACGGAGCTGGCCCGTTTCTTTTCCCGCCCTTTCATAGATGATGAATTGCTTGCCCGGTTTAGTCTTTTTATGGCCGGTATATTGCAACTGGAGACGGCTACGGCGCAATTGCTCACAGCAAGCCTCAACCGTGGGGACTGTTTGCTAATTGTAAAAGAAACAAAAAAAAACACAACCACCTTATCCAGAAGGAGCTTTGTGCAAACAATTTGTCGTCCTAACTGTAATTACACTGTAAAAGTGCTTTCGCCTCAATTGGGTCGCTTTCGTCTGCTAGGCTAGAGGCCTGGGAACTTGGATAAGGCAAAAGAGCAGCGGCACCTCATCCCACCCCCCAGCCCTCCGCTCCGCTGTGCAAAGGGAGGGCTCGGTTTGGGATTAGTCAAATACACTCAC